TATAAAGACTAATAATAGTATGTTATGCATCGAGAGCAGCAACAGCTTTTCCAGGTTCTGCAGTCATCTGAACAAAATTATATATACCTTTAAATAAGAATTGGTTTGAATAAAATTTCCCCAAAAGATTCTCCACCATACCAAACGAAACAGAGAGCGGGGTTGGGCATATGTCCGATGCAGAGAGTATAAGAAAGGAAAGTCTATATCAAAGTGTATGTCAGAGTGTGATCATACTTCTCTACTTTTTTAATTCACCAAATACCAAGACTTACCTCTCACAGATTGTTTAAGAGTTGTAGAGATGGCCGTGCTTACTTAACATTTCTCCAATACTCTGCAGCAAGTCTTTTGGACTGCTGTGCTCAAGATGGGATGGCCACCACTCCCTGGCAGTGACACTCGGTGAGTCTTAAGGGCTTGCCCCTGCTGCCTTGCCTCTCTGTACACCATGTCAACAGAGTAATTTTTCACAGAAACTCCCTGGGGTGGTTGCCCTTATCAGATCTGCCCCTACCCTTCAGTACAGCCTTCAGAGCAGTAGGCCTAGGAGGCTGAGGAGCTGGGACTCCGTTAGCAAGTGAGGTGTGACCGCAACAGGAGATGCCTCTCTGGGAGAAGCAGCCTGTGCTCTGCTAATCTTAATGCTGTCTGGCAGCCTGGCTCAAACCGGAAGTTGCTGGAAAGGAGTCAGAGACAGGGTCACTAGAATAACATCCTGAGCCTGTGTAAACCTCCATTAAGGCTGTGGTACATTTGCTGTTGCTCTCTGCAAGAGCTCAAAGTGACTGCAGGGTGAGGAGAGAGCAGAAAGCAGGAGTGAGTGTTTTCCTTCAACCTCCCTTTTCAGAGGAAGAGGTACTGAGTCCAGCAAGAGTCTGCTGGCTTCCTGAGTGCCTCAGAAATGGAGTCCTGTTCTGTTCGTGCTGTAGACCACATCCTGGCACTCTCAAAGTCAAACAATGTACTCCTTGACCCTTTGTCCATCTGTCCAGGTGCTACCTGATCCCTCTCCTTTCCCTACAGGAAGCATTCTTTCCTTCCTCACCTCCCTTTTGCCCTCCTGCCCATTGCCTTTCTGTCCTTCCAAATTGCTCCTTGAACTTTACCATGAACATCCTAATTACCAAACCAAACCAAGTGAAGACGTTCCACCCTTGTCTTCCTTGACCTTTCTGTAGTGATACCTGCTACTACTTCCTTGACACGAAAGCAGCCCAAGACTCTTCTCTTGGTTCTTCTCTAGTGTCCTAGCAGTTGTTTTGAGTGTTCCTCTCAATCTGTCCAAGCTTCTGCCTTCTCTAGCAGAGGTAAGGCTTTCCCTGGGTTCCAGCCTTCATGATTCATTTGATTCTTTTTTTTTTCTTTTTCCTCAGCTTCCTTATGACCCTCTCTTGGTCACAGGCTCTCAATCAGCATCTTTGTATCTGACATGTGATTACATAACCCAAATACAGAGCAAACAGCTGTCAGAGACTCTCAAGGTAAGGACCACGAGGCAAGTCACAGTTACCCCCCACGGCAGATCAGATGCGTCATACTTAATAAGCACTTTAATGAATGAATGGGTGAATGATGAATGAATAAATGAATGAGTAACAGAATAATGGCAAAGAAGATAGAAACATGCTAAACAGGAAATATTGGGAAAATAAGTGATGATTCCAAGTACCTGAGGTTATAATAAAGATGACATCACAGTGAAAGTGTGTTGTAATTAGAAGACCAGAAAAAGCTCTAAACAACATTCTTGCCATTTCCTCTACCCATGATACAAAGTAGCAGATAGGTAGGAAGAACAAGTCTGCAGACCCATGTGCAATACGAGGACTATAGGTTGAGAAACTGGACGGCATGTAGGACTCATGCTACATGAGTACACGTAGCTTTGCTCTGCGTGTGCACATGGGTGGTCGTAGAGACTGAACTCAGGGCCTTGCACATGCAAGGCAAGTGCTGTAGCACTTAGCTTCATCCCCATCCCCTTTAGGATTTTTTCTTTTTTCAGACTGGGTCTTTTTAAATTGCTAAGCCTGGCCTTGAATTTGTGATCTTCCCACTTTAGCCAGAGTTGCTGGAATTACAGGCATGTACCACCATGGATTGGCATGTACCACCATTTGGATTTTAGCCATTCATGCCACCAGAGGGGAAAATAAAAAGTAACTATATGTATCCCATTACATATAGTACATTGTGTTTTTTTCCATTATTTCAATAAATGTTGTTGATTAAGTGTCTACAATACTTCAGGCATTTTTCTGGGGACCAGAATTAAATGATGAAAACATACACAGTTTCTGTCCTCAAAGAAGGTACCTTCTCTTGGGAGAAAGACAGTGAAACAAACACCAACGAATATACAACATACCGCACCAGTAAACATGAAACAACACGAGACAGTAATAAGTGCTGCACAGAGAATGTCATGGGGCTGTTTGATAAAGTGACAGACAGAGAGGTCAAGACACACTACCTAAGGAGATGAGGATGTCTAAGCCTGCAGCAGCACGGCCAGAAAAAACTACCCCGTGAGAAAGAGGACGAAGAGCATTAAAGGCAAATGACAAAGCCATTTCAAGGGCTTTAATTTGGGAGCAAAGTGTGCAGTGTACAAAGAACGTGGAGACATCAGTTAGGCTGACGTGCAGCGCAGAAGGAAGGGGATGACAGGAAGCCAGTCGACGGGACGTTCTAGGCATTAGAGCCTAAATAGGCAGTGGGACTTCATTCTAAGTGCAGCAAGAAGCCAGGGGAGGGTTTTAGGAGAGATAGTGATGCAATGTGAATTATACTGAAAATTGGGACATCCTAGAGGTTATCTGGGAAGGTACTGAGGAGGGGGCAAGTCATTTGTGCCTCAAATACCAGTTAGAGGAATTCAAGTGCAGGAGGGTTCTGAACAGAGAAGTGTCATGACCAGATGCATCTAATAGTGGAGTTTTTAAAAAATGAATTAGAGACAGGAAATTTGAGCTTCGTGAAAAGAGGGCTGTTGCGGTGGTCCCAGTAGAAGTTAAAGAAGGCCTGGCATGGTTTGGGGTCAATGGGAATGAAGCGGGGGAAAGTATGAGAATTCTTGGGGGATGAAGAGCTCTATGATCCAACACATTTGTTGAAACAGAGGAAGATACCAAAGAGAATGGAAGAGAGGAATTGACTGCTCATTCATTTCAGTTGACCAATTCAGAATGATGCAAAAAGACAAGACCAAGTGGCCTCTATTCTTAGGTCACTGTGACTCACATTTAGGACAGGCTCAAACTGCTTCCTCTTATCTTCGTCATCTTGTCTTATCTCTCTCTTATCTTATCCCGGTTTCCCCCAACAACTCTGACTGTCAGTAGAGCAGAAAGAAGAGGTGACTCAACTATCAGCCCTCCTTTCTTCTGGAGTTCCAAAGAAAGGTGTCCAACATAGAGATCTGTCTGGCACCTCCCTACCCACAGACAGCAGGAGTTTGGACTCTGGGTATCTTAGTTGCTTTTCATCTTGCTGGGAAAAAATATTCAACACTCATAAATAAAGGAGAGGTTTATTTGAGCTCAGAGTTTGTAGAGGTTTCAGCCTATAGTTGGCTGGCTCCAAGGAGGGTGGCATGGCAGAGAGAATGGCTGATGCGTGGCAGGCAACAAGCACAGCGAGATCGAGCAGGAGCCAGGGAAGGAGACGGACCCTTCCAGGCCATGCCCACAGTAACCTGCTCTTCTGATTAGACCCCGCTTCCCAACAGCAGGTCCGCTAACCTCCCATAGTCTAGTCACCTTCCAGAAGCTCCACCAATGAATGCATGAGGCTCTTGGGGGACATCTAGGTATAAACTATAACCCTGAGACTATGCACAATCCTCCTATAAATTGGGGGTAACATTGGAGGTAGCCTAACAGCGTATCTCATCTGAAGGGATTTCTGCGACTTCAGAGTGTTTAGCTATCTTGGATCTCCTCTGGATCTAAATCCTCACTGTCCTCCAAGAATTTTCTCTTTTACTTAACAAAATAGCTAACATTTATTAATCACTCATGCTAGGTTCAGATCTATATGCTTTCGAGTACAATCTTATTTAATTTGCAGTGAAGCTCTAACATAGTTTACTATACTATATCTAACTTACAGAAGAAAGTGAGTCACTAACTGAATAGATAAGGAAGACATAGAAACCATGTGGATGGTTTAGGCCAGTCTCAGAAAACTCCCGGGTCTGTGAGACATAGGAGGACTAGAAATTGGAAAACATTCTGTTGTCCTAGTGCACCTGGTCAGCTGTCCATTTATCTCAGAGCCACGAGCAGTCCTGGGAGAGGGGATGGCAGATTTAGCAAGATCTACTCCTCTAGGATGGTCCCTATGAGTTCTAGTGGAAAAAACAACAGCCTTGGACAGCAGATCAAGACCCTGAGACCATCAGATCTCACAATGCAGCCTTCAGTAAAACTCCTAACCCCTGCAAGCCACACTGGTTTTATTTGTAAATGAAAATAGGCTTGATTCATAAGGATTTTAGGAGCATCAAAGTAGATAGCAAGTTTAGAAATGCAGTATGATCCCAGTTACCGAGGAAAGTGAAGCAGGAGGATCATGAGTTGAAGACCAGCCTGGGCAACATAGTGAGAATTCATCTCAAAAAAAAAAAAAAAAAAAAAAAAAAAAAAAAAAAAAAAAAAAAAAAAAAAAAAAAAAAAAAAAAAAAAAAAAAAAAAAAAAAAAAAAAAAAAAAAAC